TGCTATTTACAATTATACTAATGAGCGCTACCATTATAACACACCGTATAAACACATAGGCAAAAAAATCAATATGATTGAAAAAATGAAGAARAAAAAAGACACAAAAACTATACAAATACACACGCAGCACACAAGAGCATCATCAGTCTTTACAGTATCCAGATTAACTAGTAAGCAGAGATTTCGCACGCAAACTGACGTGTTCATATGTTTTTAGATCGTGAGAAATCGTAGAAGAAATATCAACTGGCCTCTTATTATTTCTTTCAGTAAACACTTCGCAGGTTATAAAGCACTCAAAAGGGAACAGAAACACTCGTCTGTGTCTTTTGATGTAAGCCTTCATTCCAGACAAGCATAAGAGGGTATTTCTTTCCCCTTAAAATGTTAACAACACCTAATTCCAATCAATTTTTAAAACCCTAATATCTCAAGAGGAGAATTCATTTTTTATAAATGTTGATAATTTCAAATTCGAAAATTTAACCGGAATGAACCGTGTTCATAAATATGCAGCCTGGGTTCTAGTTTGAGGTAACGTGTATGTTTTTCATTGGCTGGAAAAAAAAACAACAAAAAAACAACAAAGACGGAATGATTTATTAGATGCTGGAAGTTGCAATATGTAACCTGCAGTTCAGTTGATTCTCGAGTGGAGTGGCACTTATCGTAAGGCCCTGGAGCGTGCTTAATAGAATTTAGGGGATAGAGAGGCCTCAGTATGGAGATTTTACATTTGAATTTTTTTTTAAAGGTGCCCCCCAACCCACTCAAACATAATATATTAAGTTTTCATTAAAGTTTTTATGAAACTTGAGGAGGAAAAAGGAGCGAGTAGAGGGAGCCTTTCGTGACACTTACATGTTGAATTGCACGGAAGGAGACAAAACTCGTTTTAGAACGTACATGGCATCGAATAAATCCTATCAAGGGACACCTCGGAGATATTGGTATATTTAATGAGCGGTAAGAAATTGAACTTCTGATTCTGCACGCAACCCATGTCATTTATGACACTTAAGGAGACACTGGAGAATATTAACCTTGAGCTTGAGCAAGACAGGGTGAAATTAGGTAACATTGGACCCTAAAACAGCCTGATTTGTCAAATGTATTCCTATATATAATATACAGTCCTTTGACTAAACGTTGTCGCGGTTTGATCGGCTTCATCCCTACGCGCCTAGACCGACTAGGATCACGGGGATAATTAATTCACAGTTACTAGCAGCCGCATATGTTATCTAACACGTCTTGAGCTCGCTGTTTTCGATCCCATTTAATTTGCTAAAACCATGCCTCGAGCATACGGCGAAGATTTAAACTGGCGAGCAGTTTGGATGACGCAAGTYCTRGGTAATTTACCCGTTATCCTTTTCGGTCTAGGCGCGTAGGGATGATCCGATCAACGACAACGTTTAGTCAAAGGACTGTATATAAAAGGTACAATCAACATCGTGTTAAGAGCGAGGACTCTAGAATCGTAGACACTTCGACTTTTTCGATTTTTTATTATAAGTAATATCATCATCCCTTGGAGCCAATAAATAAGATTTAGTTTCATGATCAATCGGTATATTTGAACTTAATGCTTCATATACACCTAATTCAAAAAACGTTGTCATCACCAAAGGCGATAGGCGATAGGTCATACCGACATGGAAATGGTTTCGTTGAATACAAAGAACATTGAATCAGTCTCAACACTAAGGTCCATGTTCTTGACGAGAATAAAGGAACAGAAACACATGTCATCACAGCTATTCTTGGATCTTGGAATGACATGTTTCCTATCGCTTTTCGCCTATCGCCTATTGCCTATCGCCTTTGGCGATGACAACGTTTTTTGAATTAGGTGTATATAGAGGGCTTGAAATAGGAGAATGTTAACTAGTAAATAATAATGTTTATGTTGATCAATCGGTATATTTGAACTCAATGGTTCATATATATATAGACTGAGAGAGAGAGGGTTTGAAGCAGAACATGTTAAGAAAATAATAACTTTTTTAAAAAACTCATGGTGTTCATGTTTCCTTTTAACTATCAATCAAACACAAAAAAAAAACAAATAGACAAAAGTTAGAAAATAAGATGAAACATTAAGAAAAAAACAAACAAGTAAAATGAAAGCCAGAACGCGATAGTTTATTCCCTAGGATGTTGCCAATAGATATTGAATTATGAACGGACCATTAGATAGTTGATGGGGGGATTGCGTAAATACCCAAAAAAATATTGAGCAAGCACTTACCCCTCAAAAAAAATATATCGTGCAACCTCTTCTGTTAGAAGAAAAATATCTAACTGTACGCAAAACAAAAAACAAAAAAAAACAAGAGTTGAGCCAAAAAATAAATATCATGCAACCAAAATTCCTGCAACCTCCCATCAATTATCTAATGGTACATCCCTTAGGTAGAGTAAAGCTCTCTTTCTGTATTGCTTGATATCTGGATTAGGTCAAATCCAAGTTAATCCACTTATAATAGCATTGCAAGGTTAAAGCATGTTATTTTGGCTAAAGTTATCAAAGGTTGGAAGAGGGAAGGAGTTTAATTGGACTCCCGCAACGACACTTGTGCCTTTATAGACGAAAAATAATATAGATAAAATTTAAGAAATAGAATGGTGAAGATTTCGTGTAAGATGACAGAAGAGGGCAGATTGACGCCTAAGTTATCTACGTAAGTGACTTAAGTTATCTATATCTGTTGATGAGTGAAGGTTTTTTTCCTTATCTGGGGTTGTGCATGCCATCCTCTGGAGTTTGGTTGATAGTTTTGTTGCTTAGGTGTTTTTACGCCTTATTGACATTGTGCTTAAATGTATATATACATATGAATATTGACAGACAACCTTGCTGCAATATTGAAGTTAATGTAACATATATTGATCGTTTATGTACATTGACCCAAGTTCACTACCAGAAAATATCTATATCTTATATATGTATCATTATTATTATTATTATTATTATTATTATTATTATTATTATTATTTTATTGCATTTTGACGCATATTTGTTAATATCTTAACCTTCAAATATACATACATGTAACTTGAGTTTGTGCAATACGTTTCTGGTCGATACAGTAGCTGATAAGGAAGACCAAATAAGTTACTTTTTAAGTTTTGAATCTCATTTGATATCTTGCATCTCATTAGATATATATGTATAAATGTATACTACAACCTTTCTGCAATTAAGTGTATATATGCATATATATATACAGTCAATTCAAAAAACGTTGTCGTCGACCAACTCAAGCCTACGCGACTGGACCGAAAGGAACTCTGGGTAGCAATCATTGAAGCCTAATATTCCTTTCGGTCCAGTCGCGTAGGCTTCAAGCGGTCGACAACAACGTTTTTTGAATTGACTGTACACACACACACACACAGCCATATGCAAAACCTTCGAACCTTTTCTACATTTATACAAGTATATCAAAATTATATCAGAAAATTATGGGATGCTATYCCTGATATTTTTTCGAGTTGTCTATCTCTAGGGCTATCTGAAAAAAAAAATCAGGGAGGATATCCCATAATTTTTGATATACTTGTATATATGCACAAAAACACACATATTTACAAAATTAGGTTGTATTATATGAAATATATAATCTTGACATCGTTTTGATAAATTGTTCCTCTAATCGGCCTCYATGTATATATTTACCAGTAAGCTCAATTGCCTTTAGATGAGCTAAATCCCTAATGAATGTTTATTTCCGATTCTACTTCAGATTTAAGACAAGAGGATTTAAATAATTATCGTAGTGAAAGTCAGACAAGCGAGCTCGTATTTAAGTTACTGAGCTAGCAATTTCAAGACTGAAATATCTTCGCTACTGGCAGGAATACAACCGAAAAGAAGCCATAATAACCCAGCTTTAAAAGTACGTCAAGTAAGTATATATTATGATAAATATTTTCAGTTTTAGATGAGATGATGTGATAGCTTGCAGTAAGTTAAGAATAACTTCGTTTTTGCTTTGGTTTAAGATTACGACTAGCTGGTCAGTACCCTGTCTTTTTTCTTTCTGTTTGTTTGTTTGTTTACTTATTTGCTTGTTTATTCGTTTGCTCTTTTCTTTGCATTTTGTTTTACTTTTTGTTTTTTTGTTTGTTGTTTCTTTCTTTGTTTGTTTGTTCTTCTTTTTTGTTTGTTTCTGCCTTCCTTCCTTCCTTCCTTCTTCCTTCCTTTCTTCCTTCCTTCCTTCCTTTCTTCCTTCCTTCCTTTCTTCCTTCCTTTCTGCTCTAAATACGCGTGGTATAAGTAAACAAGAAATAATAGAACGAAGCAACACACATGCCATTGATAAATCTTCTAAGACGGTGCGATAATATAGTACGACTGGGTTAACATTTTTTCCGTTTGTCGCTATGGTGAAGTCTAGATAAGCATATAATACAGACTTGGTTTGAGTGTATATTACAGTAATGATGAAAAGGTAAATTATACACCGTGAAAAGATGAAAAAACTTACTGACGTTTCGGACGCTAGTCCTGCGTCGCTCTTTTACTACTCCGACGAAGGACTAGCGTCCGAAACGTCAGTAAGTTTTTTCATCTTTTCACGGTGTATAATTTACCTTTTCATCATTACTGTTTCATTAGAAWCACCGACGCAGCTCACACTAGTTTTTAGCTAGTTATCTCTTCTTGAGTGTATATTAATTAACTWTCCTTTTTTTTTTTTTTTTTTTTTGTACTTCATCAAGATAGAGCACGAACTGTTCAGAGTCAATAATACAATAACCTTGACTTTAAAAATTAGAGTTTCAAAGCACGACTTTTCTGTCAAGCTATGAATTAATCTTATATTCTGAGACTGTAATCTCTGATGCTCAACACAAAGACTCCTTGGTCTCTTAGATACGGGATTTTCTGCGTACGTCAATAGAGTTTGGATGAGCAGTTTCTCGTCTTGTCTGTCAAATCATTGCTAGAGTCTTGAAAAAAATTCAATATTTTTATGTCAACATGTTGATTCCAGCTAAGTTGATGTTCCAAGAATAATATTTTAAAAAATTATGGGAGATAATCATATTATCCAACTTCTCAAAATAAATGCTTCAGAAGTTGAAGCTTATTAATTAAAAACGAAAAAATATTTCTAGCGCTCAGAAGAGTGTCAAAATTCATTTTCTAATATTGTCTCAACAGTTCAAGATAATGGACCCTGAGCGTAGTGTTTTGCCCATTTCAGACCACTTGCCATTCTCTTGAGAATATTAATATTATTTGCTTGAGTTGTCCATATTCATGTGTCTTCTCGTGTGCAAGCGTTAAGCAAAGAAATAATACTCTAGGGAATGACACGTGATCTGAAATGGAAAAATAGTTGATTAGGCCTGTTTTCCAAAAAAAAAAGTTTGTTTTCTTCAAATTCCTTTTACTATGGTATAAATGCTACGGCAAAAGTTAAGACCCAAAATTCCTTTCGAGATTCGGTGTGGATAAGACGTACTAGCTCAAAAATGAGTAGCTGTTCGAGAGTGACGTAAAATGTGTTTTAACCAATTATCTTCATGCTCGGGTGTCATACGACATCTTGAATTGAATTAGCGATTTTTCCCATCCAGACAACTCCATGTCAGAAGTCAGGATTTTGTCGATTAAGGTCAAGGGACTAGATTACTTTAAATATTATCTATATATATTCATGACTCAGAAGTAAGCCAATTTTGAATAACATAGCAGTGGATGATATAGTGGTTTTAATCAATTGGCATGTGAAACAAAGTTGTAGACCTGCAAGATGCTTTCCCATTTCAGACCTCGTGTCATTTTCTTGTATAATATTCTTTGTTTGAGTTGTATCCATATGAATATTTCTTCTCATGTGCAACCAATAAACAAAGAAATAATATCCTAGGGAATGACACGTTTTGAAATAGGAAAACTTTACGCCCAATTTTAAAGAGATCTCTTAGTGCCGATTCACAGTCAAAGTAAAACAAAATAAAACAATGGAATTAGTGTCTTCAAAACAATGTATCATACCCACTATTTCCCCCCACGGACAAAGTAAAATCGCTAGTAATGATTTAAAATATTTCTTTAACAGACCAAGAAAAACACAAAAAGCTGTTTAGGATCCTTCCCTTTGTGTGTTTAACATTAAAGAAGCTCTGATTATTTTATAGAGTAGAATTGCCGCCGGGTTCATCTCCATCAGACGGCGACAATTTGACACTCGACCAGCAGTTTTTGCAGTCTATTTTATAAAAGTCTTAACTTAAGTACACTGTTGTCAGCTTTCACGGTGTTCTTAATGGTTTAAGGGCTCGAAAATAAATTACTTTTCTCTTGGATTGTCTCCGGCAAGTAAATGAATTAAGCCTCTTTTCACAGGCCTGTTGCAGCCAGTGATGTCTGCTTGTATCTTAGAGTGTTATGCCGTATTATTCAAAGCTGGTTCTGACAACTGATTTCACTGATTTCAGCTGGTTTTCATATTTCTTAGTCGTTTCTTTTTGGCTTTTTCTTTTTTTCTTTTTTTTTTTTTTGCCATTCAGTACTAATTGCTCATTTTTCTTGTTTGTTTGTTCGTTTTTGTTTTACGTTACGCATTTAATAATTGCATGTAGCTATAGGCCTTTCATCATTCAGTAAAAATTGGGAAAAAAATACTTAACTATATATATATACAATCTGAAATCCTTACTCAAGGTTCAAAAACACACTTTGCACAAAAAGCTTTCCGAAAAATCTTAATGGCTGTTAACTCAAAATTTATCTTCAAACATTCTTGTACTTAAAATGAAGAATTTTCACATACATTTGTTTGAACAGTCTTTCAAACATATACAGAACTCGGTTATCCTGTGGTGTTTCTACGACGTTTGAAGTCTCGCAAAAGACCAACCAACCTCTTTAAATCTTTCCTTTCTGAGAAAGCGCCCGTCCGTGTATTATATTTGACTAACCATTTCCTTGCATTAGTACAAATATAAGAATACTTGGATGCTTTTAAATTTTATTCTTGAGTTCCTGTTTTATATACATAAATGTCATTTCTTGCTTCTAGTGAATTTCAGGATATGATATTATTTTTTCCTTACCTAATATAATTGGTGAACTTTATTTCCATTTTATAAATGTCTTAGCCCATAAAGATAAACATGAATTTAAACCATAATGATCTTAACTCGTTTAATAAACTAGCATTTTCCAGACTTCCTTTTGTTACGATTAAGAGATTGTAAAGACTTTTCATCTTTATTTTTTTAATCCCAAGCAGAACACGACTTTAGCCGTAATGATCTTAGAACTAGTTTAATAAACTATAGCATTTTTCAGACTTCCTTTGGTTAATTATGAGATTGTAGATCTTTTTCAACTTTTTTTAAATTTTTTTTTACCCCAAGTAGAACATGACCTTAAACCATAATGGTCTTAGAACTCGTTTTAAAATATATATGTATATATATATTACAATCCCACTAGATTTAAATTATACTAGCATTTTTCAGACTGCCTTTGGTCAATTATGAATGTATATTAAATAAAATTGTCAATGTTTTTTATTTGCGTGGTTCTTTCTCAAATCCTCAAAAATGGAATCAAACTTAAGAAGTAAGACAAACTAGAAGTATTTTGATAATATCAAAGCAAAACATTATATTTATTTATTTTTTTCATTTCCTTGCATTTGACTGTTTAATGCAGCCATGTCCTTAAGTATCGTTTTAATATCTCGTTGCTACGCTACGTCAAGTGCTTTTTTTAGTAACGACAAAGAACATCCAGAGCACTTAAGGAAACAACACCATTAACTACGTACCTTCACCTGACAAACTAACCTTTTCACAGTTCAAAAAAAGCACTTATTTTAGACTAAGTTTTAACCATTATCTTCATTCCAAGTTTTTGATAGGAAGTTGAAGGAGTGTCCTATATAGCCTTGCTTCACTGCGGCCACATCTTTGGCGTTTCGTAGTTTTATTCTCATCTTAAGTGAGCTTGCTTTTTGAATGTTGACATTTTAACACGATGGACATTTCCGTTCAAAATTTTTTGCTTTGAATATGCAGCAAATAGAAAGTCAGAGATCACATTTTTCCCGTCCTGCGACTCACTTCTAACACGTTTTCTTTTTCAGTTTTAGGAAGGAAAAGAAGTGGCTTGGTTGAAACTTGAAGACAAATTCAAATTCAATAAACAGAACAGGTCTTTTTTGGTGGATTCTGCTTAATAAGGTAGGTTATTTAATTGTGCAAATGATCTTGAAAAAGCCAACACTGGTTGATTGAATCAATGGTAATGCGATAAAAGCAGTGCGCTAACAAAAAAGCAAAACTTGGATACATAAAGAAATAAACATGAACTAAGTTTTTATGAGCATTTCTGGATGATTGAAATGAGACTACCACTTGAAACCATTACATTTTGAAAATTTTTTTTTTCAAAATAGTTTTTATATCCAAAATATATATGTTCATTGTGTAATATAACACATTATCAAGCAATGCATGGTTGGAAACGAACCGATCCTTCGATCGAATTCAGCTTTGAAAATATCATATTTTAAATCCTATATAATTCTTTTTTTTTCTTTCTTTTTTTTTCGTGATAATTTTTCATGTTTTTCTACATTTAATTATCCTCTGCTAAGATATTAGAATTAAATTAGATTGACTTTACGTCGACATACATATTCATATCTTTCTTCTTTTTTACTTTTTATTTTTATTTTATTTTATTTTATTTTTTGTTTAGTTTCTTTTAACTTCATGGATAAAGATCTCCGGATAAAATATAACGGAATAGACTTGATGTTTCTAAGTATCTTAGTACCGTTAGTGATATTGTAAGAATGAATCTGACTTGTGCTTTATAACATATAAATCTCTCGATAATGATATAATGCGATGTGATTGGCTTCAGAGTAAGGATTTTCTTAAAAGCTCTTTGCCTGAAAACAGGGAAATTAATTTTTTGTATTGGCTTAACTTGTATTTGTAAAAGAAATTCTTCCAACCTAAAAAGAAGAGAGAGAGAGAGAGAGA